GTCATTTAACCATAAACAGTCCATTATATGATGATGATGGATCCGTATCCGCCACCAAGGTGATTTTCTTTGTTACGCTCATTATTATTTATGAAAACTATATTTAAAACTCATCTTTCTTATGATTTACATTATATTATGATATGCACATAAACTTTCTAGATATCATAAGTTTAGCTAAACTTTTTTATGATGTTTTGCTTTCTTATAATTAAGAATTAAAACAAATTTTAAGTTAATTAGAAGAAGAAATAAATTCTCATCAGTTATAATTTTTGATTCTAAACTAAATATTTTTGTTTAGACCAGAAAATTTTGATGTTTAAATTATTTGGTTGCTGTATCCAACATATTTTCAGGCATTTATAAAATTAACAACAAATTTCTCTTGATTTAATATGTCTCTAAGCTTACAAAAGCAAGTCAGCGTAATGAGTATGAATTTATCTTGTAAATTGGATGATTTACAACGAGGTGACAGATACATGGAGACATCAGTAGCTTTGTGCGAGATTCGCACTCAACTTCAAGAATTAACCAAATCCGTTGAAAGCTGCCAAAGTGAAGTTTCAGAAGTAAAAAATAAAAATATTTTTTTCTTCCTCTAACGCACTCTCTTTCAATGATTTATTTCAAAACTTTATCTTCGTTTCCAAAGGTCAAAAGGGACATGGTCATGATAAAACATGAATTAGACACAGTTCAACAAGTTAAAGAAGAAATTGAGGAGCTTCGTGAATATGTTGACCGTTTGGAGGAGCACACTCATAAACGGAAACTTCGATTGATGGAACAAGTTGGTGGAAAAATAATCATTAAATATATTAACGTTCTTAAAAAACCATTATCAATTTTTCTTTATAAATAAAAATGATGATTTTCCTTTCATTGACAGACGTATGTTTGAGTTTATTTTATTCTTATGAGAAACATTAATTTAAGAATGGATTTGTAACGATATTTACATGACTTTTTTTTCCATATCTTTTTAGGGATTAACATTTTTCTTATCATATTCGATTTTTGCTGCCGTTTTGGGCATGCTTCAATTTGGATATAACACTGGAGTGATAAATGCACCAGAGACGAACATAGAAAGTTTCATAAAGGATGTCTACAAGGATCGCTATGGCGAGGATATTAATGATGAAGTTACACAACAGTTATATTCGGTGGCTGTGTCAATATTTGCAATTGGTGGGATGCTGGGTGGTTTCAGTGGCGGCTGGATGGCCAATCGTTTTGGACGAAAAGGAAGCCTTTTGCTAAACAATTTTGTAGGCATTTCGGGTGCCTGTCTTATGGGCTTCACAAAATTTGTCAACTCGTATGAAATGTTGTTCTTAGGCCGATTTATAATTGGCGTTAATTGTGGTATGTGATTGAATAAAAATCAAATTATCTTAAAAATATTTCATTGCCATTTTTCCCCTTAGGTCTCAACACATCTCTTGTCCCAATGTATATATCAGAAATAGCACCACTGAACTTACGAGGAGGTCTAGGTACTGTTAATCAATTGGCTGTGACAATAGGTTTACTACTCTCTCAAGTGCTTGGTATTGAGCAGATATTAGGGACGAACGACGGTTGGCCAATATTATTAGGTTTGGCAATATGTCCAGCTATTCTTCAATTGATATTATTACCAATCTGTCCGGAATCACCACGATATTTGTTGATTACAAAGCAATGGGAAGAAGAAGCTAGAAAAGGTGAATAATTTTTGAATCTAACATAAAATTTGCGAATTTTTAAAATTTTACACTTTTTCAATCAGCTCTAAGAAGGTTGAGAGCATCGAATCAAGTTGAAGAAGACATCGAGGAAATGCGAGCAGAAGAGAGAGCTCAACAATCTGAAAGTAGTGTATCAATTATGGAATTAATCTGTTCACCAACATTACGTGCTCCACTTATAATTGGAATTGTTATGCAATTGAGTCAACAGTTAAGCGGAATCAATGCTGTAAGTTTTATTTCTATCCATGTATAAAATCGAATCTGAAAACGAAACAGAATTTCTTTTGAATTTCACTTATCTGTTTGGATAATATTCATATATTTGGAAGGCAACAAAGAGTATAAAAAATTTTGTTTCGCTATTAGATTTATGAGTCTTTCACAATTTCCAAATAATAATTTCTTAATAAGAAATTTTGAATTTTTTCAATTTTTGAAAATGTTAGACTTAAAATATATCTTTATTTATTTATTTTCTTCATAAGGTATTCTATTATTCGACTTCACTTTTCACAAGTTCAGGTTTGACCGAAGAGAGTGCAAAATTTGCTACGATAGGAATAGGTTGTATAATGGTATGTAAAGTATCGAAAAGTTAGCTTCTGTTTGAAATTGTTAATTGATTTCAAATTTCTTCAGGTTGTAATGACATTGGTGTCTATTCCTCTTATGGATAAAACAGGACGACGAACATTGCATCTCTATGGACTTGGGGGCATGTTTATATTCTCGATATTTATAACAATTTCTTTCTTGATAAAGGCAAGTTTTATTTTTCAATTTTGAATATTTAAACCAATTCTGAATGCATAATTTTTTACACTTTGAATCAACATTTCATAGACTTATAGATCAAAATATTTTTAACATAAAAAGTTATGTGATTGCGTAATTTGTTTGAGAGTGAAATTTGATTCAAAGTATTCGTTCATTTTTTCTTGTTCATCTATCGAGTTTTATTAAACTTGTATGATGATGCAATTTAAAAAACGTGAAAAAAAGAGAATGAAATCGTTGTTGTAAATGTAATTTAACTTTTTGTTCAAAATTATCTGTATAAAAGTAACAAAATTTCAGAAGCATCGAAAAAGAAAATGGACTTCTGCTTTTGGGATTTTCTTTTTCCAATCAATTTCAGTTATACTCATATTTCTTTTTACCAATTTCATAACTTATCTTTGATACCTTATACAAAAACTTTTTCTTGGATATCAGCTTGTTTACACTTTAGATTTTTACCATTAGAATTTAGGTTGTATCCAAGATTAACATATTTTCCTTATTCAAATATTTCCATTTGATTTTTCAATTTAACTCGTGAATCTTCAGTTCAGTTGTTGCATGATTTTTACATCATTGATACACATAAATTCATATTAATTAAAACTAAGGTATTTCCAATCACACGTACGTTTGTAAACTTTTAACCATTTATTCATTTGAGCGGGTGAAAAATTTTTTGGCAGAAAATCTAATGCTTAAAAATTTATCCTGAATGTAATCGTATCTAGAAATATTTACGTTTTTCACATCTTTCTTATAGCTTAACTTACATATTTCCCTTTATGCACAATTAATGTTTGCTTTGATAAAATTACCGTTTTAATAAACCATAGAAGTTTTGTATTCTTGTTTAATATTTTCATCACAACATTAAGAAACGTAGTTAAAATTTGGTTCAAATGCTTTTATACTAGATAGCTCAATGCACTTAATGAACATTCGCATGCATTTTAATTACGTTTCAATATTCACATCCGAGAAATGATTTCAGTGAATTTTCCTTAAAAATAGATAAGTAATACATATTTTCTCATAAAATAACTGAATCATTTCTCGGGGTCCCTGGTCTTTGCCCTCTTATGATACAGAAGAACATTTCTCGAAATTAAAGGCTTCCCCCCCACCAACCTCTCTGAAAATTCACTATAAATACATAAAAGTACTAACGAACTAACAATAAAGTATTTAAATGAATTGGCCACCTTTTTTCTGTATGATATTGATTTTTCGATTCATTATTTCTTTTAATTATTTTAAATCATTAGTTGTAAATTTAATCTGAGGGAATCTCTTTACCTAATAAATTGGTGATAGAAAAATAATTCTCAAGGCGTTTTATAGCAATTTCTTGCAAATATACTAAATTGGAAACGCCAAATGTACACAAATTAATTCGCTAACACCCTCCAACTTCATCTCCATGATTACGACGGAGAGTTTATCTTCTAGATTTTGAATGAATGAAATTTTTGCTTTTTTTCTTTTGAACTTAAATTGCAATCAACATACAAAAGCACTATGGAAATAGAAAGAGAGCGATCAATTTGATACATTTGATTATTTTATATAAAAATATAACCTGACTGATAGAAATGATTCGTTTTGACAGATACAATTCAATACTTTACACAATTAGATACATTAACAAATGTTCATAAAAGCTTTAATGCAATTTGTATAAAATTTTATGCTTTCGCATAAAATAAAGATCTTTAAAAGCAACATGTCATCACAAAAATCTTACTACGATATCATTTTCTTAGAATCAACATGTAATGCTTTTCTTCACATTGACATGGCAAGAACTTGTTGTTTTTGCCTGCTTGAACGGCTTGCACTTGAACAGATAAACAAAATAAATGCAATTAAATATATATTCTACACTAACGAAAAAGGATCTATGGAATCATACTGTTAATGAAAGACAAAAAGTTTTTAAACTTCTTAACAACAAGTATAATGACTGAACTTTGTTTAAAGTTTTTCTTTTCTTCATTCATTTCATTTGTAATTGAGTTGTTTTTTATTTGTTATGATTTCGATTGTTAGAGACTCATATAAGACAAAAAATATCACAACATAAAAACATATTATGGCCTCTAATATTCGAGAAATGACAGGTGCTTACACAAAAGTATAGGAGTTTTTTGGTTATGTGCAGGAAATGATCGATTGGATGTCTTACTTGTCTGTCGTGTCAACACTTGCCTTCGTCGTGTTCTTTGCAGTTGGTCCGGGATCAATTCCATGGATGATTACAGCTGAACTTTTCTCTCAAGGGCCACGTCCAACAGCAATGGCAATTGCAGTTTTAGTCAATTGGATGGCAAATTTCGTAGTTGGAATAGGTTTTCCCAGTCTTAAGGTAAGAACTTTTAAGTTTAAAAACGATAAAAATATTTAATAGATTGCTAATAAATTTCAAATGAAACTGAATAATTGAAATTCTATTTTAATTTATTTTTCAGACCAGATTGGAAAATTACACATTTTTACCATTTAGCGTACTTTTAGCAATATTCTGGATATTTACTTATCAGAAAGTTCCAGAGACAAAAAACAAAACGTTTGAAGAAATATTAGCTTTATTCAGACATGGAAATGGAAGGTAAATTAAAAGAGAACCTCATAAATATGAGTGTTGATGTTGAAATATTAAATATTTTAAGCTAGATCAGTAATCTCAAAATATGTTCACTCATTAACTTTTAATTGAATAAGAATATAAAATTAAACTGAAAAGATATTTCCAAAAAAAAACATTTATTTTTTAATGTCGTTTTTCATTTGCCTCAGAAGATCCCTTCGTGATAGCAGATTGTACGGGTGAGAAAAACTTTGATAGTTTTTTGCGCTTATTTTTCACTTTTCAACATAAATACTTAAATTCGTTCTTTGCACGTGTTTTATTTAGTTACATATTTCATAATTTTATATTTCAAATTTCGTTGATTTCAAAGGTTTATTTTTGTTTTTGATTCGCTACCTTCAAAACTGGAATTTTTATATTTCTCAAATCGAATAAATATTTAAAAAATGAACACTTTAAGTCATATATGTATCATATTGAGAAGACAGCTTTATAAATCAGGCCAAACTAAAACCAAATCTTCGCTACTTTTAGTTTTCCATGACTGCTGAAGCTTGCGCTCAAATATCTTTTCTTTGTTAATTCTATTTGAAGTAAATTTTTGAAAAGATGAATTAAATGTAGAATTAAAAGCTTTGTATGTAATATGCACTAAGGAGCCATCAATCAGCATCATTAAAGTTTGTACTCGAGCATTTGAAGATTCTATCTTGCATTTATGAATGCATACCGGCTTTAGAAGTAGTTATTACTAGATTAATAAATATCTTGCGCAGTGCTTATAATAACATATCTTTTCTATTGAGAATATCTTAATATTCCAGCATGAAAACTACAATAAAATATTTAATACAGATGTGAATCTCAGCTTTTACATAATACCAACGTTGTGATAATCTAAAAATTTATTTTATATTCGAATCTAAAGGTTCAATTATTTTCATACGAAGTTTTCTCAACGATTCTCTTCTGGCGTTTATTCCAAAATCAATGAATAAAATTATTTGAATTAGGTAGATAAAATTTATACAAGAAAAGAACTTAAAATTTCAAAGCTGAGAACCACAACATATTTATTAATTTTTTTCATTTAAACCTTTACGGTAAAATAAGAACATTGGCTATTTTGCATAAATAAAATAGAAGTTGAATTGGTTGTTGTGTCTACGAATATGCAACAAGTTAAGGAACAATAGAATTTTATTCATTCCGTTTCTAAAAGCTTCAAAATAAAACAAAATAAAACCGTCGAATATTTTACTAGAGAGATTTAATATTAATATTTTTATTCATTAAAGACAATTCCAAAAAAGGCATTCAATATTTTTTGTTTTTATTACATTCCTTTTTCAAAAAAAATTTTTTTTTCAGTTTCCAACGAAAATATGTAAAGTTTCTTATTGGATAATTTGGCTTAATTATATNTTTAAATATAAAGTTTTGATGAAAAGAATAAAAGACGTCAAAGGAATGGTAAATGAACAAAATAATGATATTTAATCCAATGATAAGAAATAAAGGTATTATGGGCTACCGCAAATACCGGAAAACCTATCAATATAAACGCTTTTTATCTTATTTTTACTTATCCAAGCAATGGAAATTTTTCTAGCATCTAATATTAACTCATGCTTACAACTGATCATGCTAACAACATTATGTTGGAGAATATCTAAATACTGAATTTATTTTTGTATTTTGTATAACTTTTTCATTTATTGTTATAAATTTAGTGTCTTTATCTATTAAACCTTTTAAAAAATCATAACACACAATTCAATAAATAGGTACTTGATAAAATTCTATAAGTACAAAACGACAATAACAAAAAGTTTTCTACAGTACAATGAAAACAAAATCATAGATTTTTGTCTCTTTTTGAAAATATAACGCAAAGTGTATGAGATTCTAACGACTAAATTTAGTTTGAATTTATATTTTGTTTTCAACTCTCGAAATGTAACTAAACGTACTCATTCAATTCTAAGGTAGTACAGTTAAACTTTGATTAACAGATATTTCAAGGGACACAAAAAAATATCTGTTAATCGAGGATATCTGCTTATCAAGGATTCGAGGGTGTTGAAAAAATATAAAAATATATTTTTGAGCCCGACAATCCCCAATATTATATTATTTTAATATTATTTGAACTTATCTATTATATTTTATGATAATATAATGCTAGTTAGACGATGAATTAACAATATCATAAAAATTCGCGCCATTCGAATTGAGTAAATGAAGTTAAATTTTTTCGTTTATCAGCTTATTGAGGTCAGTTTTTCATACAACTTTCGCCACCGTTTATCGGGGCACCAGTTAATCGAGGATATCTGATAATCGGGGCATTTGTTCATACAAATTCGAGTGTGTGCCAAAAAATATCCGCTTATCAAGGATATCTGATTATCGAAGTAGCTGTTAATCAAAGTTTAACTGTATTACATTCCTTTTTCAAAAAAAAATTTTTTTTCAGTTTCCAACGAAAATATGTAAAGTTTCTTATTGGATAATTTGGCTTAATTATATTCATGATTTATTTTCTGTTACATATTATTATTCACGTAAGCAAATAAAGTAATTATGCAATTTAAATTCAAGTAGATTCAATTTTTAAGTCCATAATCGTAGAGTGAAAATGGTCGATTTTCAGGAGTATGCTTAACTGCGTGAATAATTTGAATCTGGAACCACAAAGCATGAATTCTGGTATTGAAAGAGCTGCGTTAATGATCTCGGAGGAGAAACACCAACAGGATTCACGTAAGAAAGAATCACAACAAAATGACTTTAAGTTTTCAAATTTCAGTTTTTCTGTTGTTATAAAACAATTTGTTTCTAATGGTTTCTGAATTATCTGATTATCTGAATATCTTCTTTACATCTACTTTTTACTTAAATTATTGTTAATAAGACAGGAACCATACTATTAAACATAATTCTTCTTTTGAAATTTAACTGGAATGAAAGTTTCTTTGATAATAAGTTTTAGTTAACAATTGGAAGCCATTTTTTCGTTGTTTTGTGTTTTAATTTTAAATGAAAAAATTAATCAAATTTTACTACCGATCTGTAGAGAATTGAAATCATTTAAAACATTAAATTTTATTTTGCTAGGGATGAAAGCTTTAATATTTCGTAAAATGTCTGCTAAGTATCTAAATATATCATTGGTTTGTTAATGAATAGTTTTCTAAGTTTTTGCATCAAATTTAAACGTGAAAGTCGTCAAATTATTTTGCATTTATCACATTTTGACATTTTGTCAAATCTTATAATTTTGTGAAATTTTGAGAAACAGATTTGATTTTGATGAACTCGTATTTTCAGTGCTTTTTTGTGATATATTTAGTGTGGGTAGTGCCATGATTATATGATATATACAAGAAAATTATTAATAAATGTTTCTTTTTTTCTGAATGTTGTTCTAACATTGACTACAAGTTGAGACTAGAAATAATAATGATAATAAGTTCATAATATCTAACAAATAAGTTAAAAGTAATCAAATTAAAAAAAAAAATTCCTCCTTATTTTTGGAAAAACTTCTTTTTTTATAATTTTATTTATTTTCAATTCAAACTAAAATTCATTTTTGATTAATTATGCAACGAAATCTAGAAACTCGTGAGCTCATGGAAGAAATATTCCCGTTGACTGATCAAGTCAATTTGTTGAGTGATACATCTCGCTATGCATATGATAGCTTATTAACATCACAGTTTCTCAATTATGGTACGAAAAAAAATGCAAATAAATCTTATAGTAACACTAACATTAAAAATACTACATGTAATAATAATAATACATGTTCACCATTGCCATCAAAGCACCATCGCGAAAGCTTACATAGGCAATCTGCTCGAGGAATGACCCACCCAGGTATATGAAGCTAAATCTCATAAGATATTAGTCTGAAGAAAAACACCAACACTGAAATTAATTTACCAAATTAGACTTTATGTACATTGATATTATCACAAACTCTGTAGATACTTACTCACTTACACCTCTATTTATATATTATTTTTATAAACCGGGAGAAAAAGTGATCATCACAGAATTTTAATTTATTACAACCTTTCATATCTGATATTGAACAAAACAGATTTATTAATGGATATCATTAGTCTTTGTTTTTCTAAATATAAAATAAAACGATCACTATAAACTTTTATTGATTTTCGTTTTCCTACCTGTAAGCTAAATCACTTTATGAAAAGCTAGTAATCAAATCAAAATGCTTCCAATTTACACATATTAATCTTTATCTCTGTCAAACATTAGATATCTATTTACTTACCAATCACATTAAATATATGATATATTCATTTCAGTCACTTTATCAAACACCAAATCTACTTCATTTTTTTAACCTTATAAAATTTGACTTCATATTAGCAAATTACTCTTTGAAAAATATTTTATGCGAGCTTGCAATTTTTTTATTTTGAAAAAACTTTGAGTGCTTTGCTATTTTACTGAGTCAAAGTACATTGTTCATTTGTCTGACATACATACTTAAATAAAACATACTTAAGTGATAAATTTAAGAAGAAGTATGAAATAGAAATATATTTTACATACATACAAATCGAAGCATACTTTCTCAAGCTTTGAAGTAATTTAGATTTATTATATTCTAATAAATATTTTGAAATTATAAAGAGTGATGAAAATATTCAGTGACAAACGCATCACTAAATATTATTTTTTTTAAAAAAAGATGTTGACATCTTCAAATTAAAAACTTGATTCAAAATCAAATCAATTAAATGAAAATGTTCACTTAGATGTTTTAATTTGTTTTCATTAATTTGAATAGAAATAATTTCATACTTACAACATTTGTAAGTATTATCGTCATATTTCATTTTATTCGATTTTGTTAAAATCTAATTAGTTAAATTCTTATGTTTTGAATTAGGAACACTCACAAAAATACAAAACTCATTTGAAATTTTAAAAGCGATTTTCAGATGAAATAAGGCAAAGTGGTAAACTTTTGCTTTGCCTTAAAGTGTCAGGTGTGGTTAAAACTTCTATACTCCATTACAGAAAATGAAGAGGGAAGAAATGATTAAACACATAATAATTTTTTTATTAGTAATTTTTTTCTTTATTTTAAGTTTAATCATAAAAAAACTCTAATTAAATATTTACTTGAACTAAGTAAAGTACTCATCGATTTTGTAAATGTTATATACTTTGGTAAACTATTGTAACCTCAACATTGGTGAGTCGATGTTCCGTCTGTGCAACTAGTTTAACTTCGCTGAAAGTTTATTTGCTTGTGATTTCTTGATACTGTGAGCTTTGTATTTTGCAAATGAAATAGTCAGTTGCTACTCTAATATCAATCTAATAATACCTTATCATGTAAATAAATATATTTATAACTTTTTTTTCTTGTGTGCTTTAGATTTAGATAGAGAATATTTATCACTAATTTGCTTGTATTTGCTTGCATGCTTCATTTTGTATTTTTTCACTAGAGGTTTTGTTATAAATATA